CCCCACATGGCTTGTGGCAAACTGCAAACGGGACTTCTTATGGTTTTCTGTTAACAATGGCTTTCTTCTTGCCACTCTTCCATAAAGGCCAACTTTGTGCAGTGCAGGACTAATAGTTGTCCTGTGGACAGATTCCCCCACCTGAGCTGTAGATCTCTGCAGCTCGTCCAGAATCACCATGGGCCTCTTGGCTGCATTTCTGATCAGCTCCTTGTTCGGCCTTGTTCGATTACACACAGGTGCACTCTATTTAGTCATTAGCACTCATCAGGCAACGTCTATGGGCAACTGACTGCACTAAGACCAAAGGGGGCTGAATAATTACGCACACCCCACTTTGCAGTTATTTATTTGTAAAAAATGTTTGGAATCATGTATGATTTTGGTTCCACTTCTCACGTGTGCACCACTTTGTGTTGGTCTTTCACGTGGAATTCCAATAACATTGATTCATGTTTGTGGCTGTAATGTGACAAAATGTGGGAAAGTTCAAGGGGACCAATACTTTTGCAACCACTGTAACTCTAATACTGATTAATATATTCCTGCGCTGTATGAGCCCCTCCTGGATGGCCAAACTCCTCCATAAAGATTATGAACAGAATCAGTGACAAAGTGCAGCCTTGGTGGGGTCCATAACCCACCGGGAGCGAGTCTGACTTGTTGCCAGCTATGTGGACCAAGCTCTTGCAACAGTTGTGTAAGGTTCAGATAGCCCGTAGCAAAGACTCCCCATACTCCCGCAGCACCTCCTACAGAACACCATGAGGGACACGGTCGAGTGCCTTCTCCAAGTCCACAAAATACATGCAGACTGGTTGGGCAATTTCCCATGCTCCCTCAGGTATCCTTGACAGGATAGAGAGCTGGTCTAGTGTTCCACGACCAGGATGAAAACTGCATTGTTCCTCCTGTATCCGAGGTTCGACTAACGAACAGACGCTCCTTTCCTCCAAATCACGCCCCTCCAGGTCACACTGTCATTGCCCGAGTGTTGAAGTCTCCCAGTAAGACAAGTCCCGAGGTGGAGCACCCTCAAGCACCACACCCAAGGACTTCAGGATGGCCGGGTACTCTGAACTGATGCTAAGTGCAGACAATCTGGATCTACTTCTTATTGGAGATTTTTGAATCGCTCTTGTCTGGTCCCTCACCAAGGACTGATTTGCCACAGGAGACCCTACCAGAGTGCAAACAACACAGGATCCCTGGGACACACAAACCTTCCACCACGATGAGGTAGCGATTCACGGAGGGGCCTCTGAGTACTAACTTGATGTAAATTCTCCAGGAATATAACCTAGAGCCAAAAAGTGCTTTAAAGATCGATGCATTCACACAGCTCATAATTAGACCAACTTATTATTCCTTCACATTTCCTGTTACTCCTTAAATCTAAATGATTGATGGATGAAAAATCCTAGTCTAAGGATCTTGGAGAGAAAAGCGTCTGGACTTTAAGTTTCTTGAAGACTTTTGGCCTCTCATCTGAGAAGCTTCTTCAGTTCTAAGAGCAACTGGTAGAGAGTCCAGATTTATAAGCCCTATGGGAGTGTCCCTAAGAGGGTCAGTAGTGAGTCCATGATCCTCTTAGGGACACTCCCATAGGGCTTAAAATTCTGGGATTCTCTGCCAAGCTCCTTAGATTACTCTGACCTGGATGACTGCAAACCTTCACAGACATATTTAAAGGTCTCCTAACCCTCTAACACTTAGTGCATCATATGAATACATGAATTTTTGTGAGTCTTTTATATCATCAGTGGGATTCACCACAATACATCTTTAAAACTTTGTCAGAAGTTTCAATTAACTCTCCACCTGTCAGAAACAGATTTTTTCTGTTGTCTGTATTAATCCAGATTATAATTTCTTTTGTCACAGCAGGAATGAAAACCTGTTTATATGATGTTGTCGGTGTGGCCACACAAATCAACACACACACAGACTGTTTGATAAAAAACCTGTTTTCTTATTTTAGTCTGAGTTTATTTATCGTACATGATTACAGTCACAGGTGAGGGGGGCTGGTCAGGGTTGGGGGTCAGAGGTCAGAGGGGTTTAGAAGTAGTTGACGACTCTGCGGATGGACTGGATGTTGGGGTTCTGGGCCTGCCACTCGTTATGGCTGCAGTAGTCTCCACGCTCAACAATGTACATGCGGCCACGGAAGTTTGGCTCCTCGTACATCACCCAGCTGGAGGTGGAGCAAGGAGGGAAGAGAGGCGGGGTTAAAGTCAGGAACATGCTTTTATTAACCTGTCACACTTTTGTTAAGGAGGATTCAGAATGATGTTTAAATATATTCCGCCTTAAAACATCTTTAGACTTTTTTCTATTATGTTAAGTCATGCTAACACATCCAACCTTAGGTTGTTAGCATGCTAACATTAGCACTAAATAGAAAAATTAAGCTGAGGATGAAAAACAGTTCAACTGGTCTCCAGGTGAGAAGTCTAATAATAAGATAAGCCTGGTGGGGTTCATCCTCAGGGGGACATGAATGTGAAAAAACCTGAAAGCTAAAGTTTGAACTCAATCAATCAAATCAATCATCAGCCAAAACTTCCAAGAACAAGAACATTACTGTGTCACATTTCATCATCTGGGGATAATAAATAATGAGCCCCACAGTCTAAGCTGCCAGCAGCAATAAAGTCTACAGAGTTCATCCTCTGCAGAGCAGGAATATGTCAACAACCGACCTTTACTTTGAATGTGAATGATAAATATTTCCTGTTAGCATGTTAGGAATATTGTCCTAATACTAATCTCAGGTTAAAGGTCACCAAAGTTTATCCATTGGGGAGCAGGAACATCAGCGTTAAGGTTTCTGGTAAAGGAGAAACTCACGCTCCGTCTCCGTAGACCTTCACAGAGTTGATGCAGTTCTTGGAGAAGCCGCGGCTCTGCAGGAAGGGGCAGTCGTCGCAGATGTCCACGCACTGACCGGAGAAGTTACAGCCCTCGAACAGCTCGATGCGGTAGTGCTCGCCGTGCTGCCGGACAGACGGACACGATTAGGTCAGAATCCAACAACAAAACCTACATCACAGACCGGACGGAGCAGCTGTAGCTTCAGGATGAAGGTGCTTCACCCCAAAGCGAGAAAAGATGGTTTCCCCTCAGTGGAAAAGACTCACAGAGTCAGTCTTTCACTAACACATGAAAAACAAACATCTGACATTTTTAAAATGTGAATTAAAAAGAAGATGAAATTGTGTTTCCTGACAGCAGTAAAATCTCAGATCTGTCAGATCACCTCATCCGTGCTCTTTAAACAATCACAACTCCGTCAGAGGTGCTCACCATGCGGATGGGTTTGCAGGATCCCATGTGGTCGTTGTGGGAGTTCCACCTCTGGAATTCTGGGTACTCGCCGTGCTCCAGGATGTACTGCTGGCCCTTGAAGTCAGGGTGGTCGTAGCAGATCCAGGCTCCGCTCTCCACACGGATCGAGTTCACCCTGAAGAGACAAAGACAGGCTCCAGATGTTACCCTGCAGAGGTGCTCAGTCACATGTTGAAACCATCAGCAGGTTTAACTGGTCAGAACTTTTTCATCCTCCGTCCCAGCACGATCATCTGCTCAGACGCAGTCATGGAGCTCAGGTGATGATCAGCTGAAGGAAACAGGAAGCACTTACACCAAGAACTCCAGTTTATCCTGACCATGATGATGATGATGTCGGCCTCGTGCTCTCCTCTGATGAAGAGCGACTGAATGCTTGATAAGGTCAGAAAAAAAAAGGTGCTGAAACTGGTTTCTGTGTGGACGGACTTCAGTCTGAGTTTGTGCTGCTAGTGAAAACTGTTGGTCATCAAATTCACATCTTTGAGTTTGCAGAACGTCAGATCTTTGATATGTGTTTCTATTTGTCACTAAAAAGGAAACGTTTAGACTTCCTGTACGGCCAGAAATCACAAAGCTTCTGTTCTTCTGTGTTTTCATTGATGTCATTAGAAAAATCTTAAGAGTAACTGAAACACTGACCTCGTATCAGTATTCAGAGGCTCGTCAGAAATATCAGCTCTCGCCTGAATTTCAGAAGCTGAAAGCAGAAACAGTTTCGTCCACACGGTTTGAATATAAATGTGACCACCAGGGGGCAGCGATTCCACACATGTGTTTCCAGATGTGTGCTGCAGTTCTCTCAGTTTCTGACATTTGTTGTACTTGTCATGACTTCATGACCTGCTTACAGTTACACTGACAGGCTGCGCCCCCTCGTGGCTCAGAGCGGTATTACATAAAACCAGCTGTTACGTTTCCTCTGATCAGCTGATCAGTCAGACTCTAGTTTCTGAGCTCAGAGAAACTGAAGGTGCGACTGAAGATCTGCTCTGACTCAGTTCAGGTTCAAACGTCTTCAGTAAAGAAAAAAAGAGAAAGCAAACACCTGAAAACAGGAAGTTACCTGTTCATGAAGCCGCGGTCCTGGAAGTTATCACAGTCACCTCTGACCTCCAGCTTCCTGCCGGTGAAGCACTTCCCCTCATAAAAAGTAATCTGCAGGACAAACGCTCACGGTCACGTGCTTTCATTCAATGAAACTTTATTTAAAAATGATTGACAGGACGAAGTTCCTGCTGTAATCTGAAGCCTCCAGTCTCACAGGTCTGAATTTATCATGACTCTGTCATGTGAATCATCTCCACCCTTCACCAGGTTGTTAGTCTTTGATGCCTCTAACATGGAATAACACGAATAAATAACAATGAATGACATTTCTGAATCTAGGCTGGAAAGTAACTGAGTATTTTTACTTGGGTGCCCTGAAGGTGCTGCTCTGAAACCTGATCCTGGGCTTAGAGGACGATCGAGCGTGCAGCGACGTCTGTTTGGTCTTAAACATGACTCCAGCTGCTTTATTAAAGTGACATCATCAACAGCAAACAGTGAAGTTTTAACAAAAACAGAAACTTTCATTTTAATGTTTCACATGAATGTGAAGTGAAACTCAAAGTGATGATTTATTTTTTCTATTCTTGTCTTTAAAAACTAAATGTCCTGCTGCTGTGAAGAGCTTCACACCAAACTCCATTCAAAAATTGACTATTTTAAGCAGCCTGATCTTCAGCTTCAGAGCTCAGACTGAAACAGAGCTCAAAGCGATCCTCGTCGGTCTCACTCACCTTTCCAGAGTACTGTGACATTTTGTCCCGCTGGATGTCGTCCAACCTGGCCCGCAACCACACACACAGTGTAACAGAGAAAAAGTTGGACACCCCAATTTATACGGCAGGGGGGCGAGCGAGGGGCGCGGCGGGCCGAGGGCCGAGGCCCCCGGACAAAAGAGTCGGCTTCAAAGGTTTCTGCTGCCTCGACGCTTTCAGTTCATCCAGACCTGTCTGCTGATTCTGCTGTGTGTGTGTGTGTGAGTGTGTGTGTGTGTGTGTGTGTGTGTGTGTGTGTGTGTGTGTGTGTGTGTGTGTGTGTG